TTTATAATACATTTTCATATATTTCTATTAAAGTATAAATTTAAAAAATATTATTTTTTATTAAAATAACTTTTGATCCAGATGATCAACTGTCTTTAATTTTTTTGTATCACTTTTAAATGCAATTTAGAATAATCTGTAATTTTTTCATGTAATTCTTAACATATTGCATTTGTTTTACAACCTCCTTAAATATTCATAATAAAAAGAATTTTTTAAGATTCATTGATATTGATTTCTTCTTTTTTTTCTTCTTGCTAGTATTGATTGCTATTTTATCATCAATTTTGTTAAATACACAAGACTACGTATTTAATTAAAAAATGAATGATTCGTAGACGATTAGCACGTAAAGCATTAATTAATGATAATTAATGCGCAATCTTCATAATAGGGTCTGTCAATAGGGACGCTCGAAATTTGTTAGATCATAGTAGTCAGTTAAAGTGACATCTGTCAAATTTGTTGTGAATTGTTTAGTAGTGTATGGCAAATCACCATGGAAGGTCATAGTGTTGAGTAACGTGTGCAAATCATAAAATTTTATCATCAAAATCAGTGCCGTTCGAGAAACGTTCCGCGCATTACATGATTTTTATCCTCATCACAACCGTCCTGCCGAGTCAACTATTCGACGTTTGGTGGCCAAATTCGAGTCAACCGGTTCGATAAATAATCAGTCAACACCAGTATGTCGCCGAAACACAAGGTCTGCTGAAAACATCGCTGCTGTGCGTGAGAGTGTACGGGAAAACCCAAGGTGATCAATTTCTCGTCATTCACTTGGCCTTTCTGTGACTTCAACTTGGCGAATTTTGCGTCGGGACTTGGGTCTGCACCCCTATAAAATTCAACTGATCCAGGAACTTAAGATAAACGACCATAGACAACGCCGTGTGTTCGCTGATTGGATTCTGGAGCAGTTGGAAGTTAACCCAAATTTCGCCAAACAAATCATTTTTAGCGATGAGGCCCATTTTTGGATGAATGGATATGTGAACAAGCAAAATTGTCGAATTTGGGACGATACCAACCATAGCGAGATACACCAGCTCCAAATACATCTCGAGAAAGTCACTGTTTGATGCGGATTTTGATCTGGTGGAATCATCGGTTCGTACTTCTTTCAAAACGAAGCGTTACCATAACCGTCAACGGCGAGCACAGATCGATAAGCAACTTCTTGTAGCCCAAAATGGATGATATGAATACCGATAACATGTGGTTCTAATAGAATGGCGCTACGTGTCACATACACGATGGGATTCTGCACGAGCGATTTGAGGATTAGTTATCTCGCGCGGCGGCGACGTGAACTGGCCATCGAGATCGTGTGATTTAACGCTTTAGACTTCTTCCATTGGGGCTATCTTAAATCGTAGATCTATACGAATAAACCGCAAACAATTGATCTCTCTCAAAGTCAATATAACAAATGCCATCCAGCAAATTCAGCCAGATTTATGCGAAAAAATTGGACCGCCCGAATACGTGTCACCAAGCGAAGCCGCGGCGGACATTTGAGTGACGTTATATTCCATACTTAATGCCATAAAATATTCTTTCAAATAAAAAAAAATTGAGTGGATTTCACACATATAACTTGTTTTATTTACATTTAAAAATCGAGCGTCCTTATTGAAAGACCCTTTATATAAAATGCAAAAACCATATTCAAGTTTATGTGTTAATTATTTATAGAGAATTATACATAAATAAATAATAAATAAAACTTGAATCTCTTAAAATTTAAACTTTTATTTTTTTCTAATAAAGTATTTATTTGAAATTCGAAGAATTTTAATTAGTTTTTGGAGAATACTTTTAAATGTTATACTTGTACTAAAGTTACTTGTGTTACTTGTGTAACTTGTGTTACTGAAGAAAATCCGAAGCAGATTGACGCAATGTACTAATTTTCCTTCTCTCTCTCTCTCTCTCTCTCTTTCAACATATGTTGTAAACATTTTAAAATATCAAATATAACATTAGCTTTTTTTAATTTGAGAAACTTAAGAGCAATTAAATATTTGTTATAGATATTTCAACATGGCGCCAAATTTGTTCGGCAATGCAGCGACTTTATTCCTCGAAGCTTCTCAGCAAGATGTATCGCAAAAAGAAGCGGCAGAGAAAGCAGTAACGCAAAAATTATTAATCCAAAAGGCACAAAACTTGAAGCCTAAATATCAGTGGAAGATTGTCTGGAGAAATATAATAGCTTTTCTCTATCTTCATCTCGGTGCACTTTACGGATTGTATATTTTAATAACAGCTGCCAAATTTTACACAACACTTTGGTGTACGTTTTATTTATATATCTTTTAAGACTTAAGATTTAAGCATTGTTTTATGAATTGCCATTGATTAATTTGAGAAGAAATAATATAAAGAGTCTAGTAGATTTCTATAAAATAATAATATTAATTGCAAATATTTCATTTACGAAAGATCTCATAATTTTAATGATTTAATTATCAGCTATAAATTGATTTTATTTATTCTTTCAGCTATAATAATTGGATCTTTCGCAGCTATCGGTGTTACAGCAGGTGCTCACAGACTGTGGGCTCATCGGGCTTACAAAGCAAAATGGCCGATGAGAGTCATTCTTATGCTTATGCAAACCACGGCTTTTCAAGTAAGTCTCCCGTGATCCCTATTCATAAAACAATTATTATAAATTAAAATTATAAAATTATAATTCATAGTTATTATCTTGTATGTACTCTTTAAATTCTTCGAAATAAAATCTCATTAAAAGAAATGAAAACTGAATCTTGAAAAATAGAGTGACTTAATTTTCAATCTTTAAGAGTGCAGAGATTTAATTTTAGAATGACAATTTACTGTAAAAGTTTTAGAGAGTATAATTTAAAATAATATATTGCAAATATACATATAATAAAAACATTCAAGAAATTCCTCTCTACAGAGAAATTTATTTCTCATAAATCTTTATATTTTTAAAGAATTACTTGAAAAATATAAAAGATTTATTGTTTATAAGAAATAAATTTCTTTGTAGAGGAATTTCTTGAATGTTTTTGTAATTATCATTTAACGTGCGTTTTGCATGCAGAATCACATTTACGAGTGGGTGAGAGATCACCGAGTTCATCATAAATTTACGGACACGGACGCAGATCCGCACAATGCGAAGAGAGGCTTTTTCTTTTCGCACATAGGTTGGCTTTTAGTTCAAAAACATCCTGATGTTATTAATAAGGGAGCCACAGTCGATATGAGCGACCTCGAGAAGGATGCCGTCGTTGTCTGGCAACGCAGGTATGATAAAGATATCGTTTTTATAAAATCAATTGGTGAGATTTCACAAATGAAATTATTCTATTTTTTTCTTAAAGAAACCCAGATAATATAAAGTCCAAAATTGAGACATAAGACGTTTTTAAGGTGTCTTTTAAACGCCAAAGATGTCTTAATTTTGTGTCTGGAAAATAATAAACTTTATTAAATCGTCAAAAAAAATCAAAATAAATCTGTTTATATTACAGATTTTACATCATCCTACTGCCTATTTTTTGCTTCCTACTTCCCACCTGGATACCGTGTCATTTTTGGAATGAAAAACCTATATACGCGTGGTATTCTACCCTGTTCAGATACACACTCTCACTGAATTTAACTTGGCTAGTGAATTCCGCGGCTCACATATGGGGCATGAAACCATATGACAAGTTAGTATCATCAAAGATTTATTTATTTTATTGTGTGTAATAATTACAATTAAATTTAAAAAAACCATTATACAAAAAGCATTACATGTACTATGAAGCACAAGGAAATTAGATAGAGAAATAGTAAACCAAGGCACGCAAAAGTGAAATTATAGCTAATAGTTGATATAACGAAACATCAGTAGCGGGATTCTTTAAACTTCTTCTTATCTTCGTCTTATCGATGATTGTCGTTAATTAGCGACAGCCAATGGCAGCATAATCCTGAAAGAAAGAGCAGCTCTTATAGACTGTCACTAGTTAACGACAATTGTCGATAAAACGTTTAGAAAATCCTGCAACTAATAAAATAAGCATTATTTTAATATACAATACTACAATACTACAATACATACATATTAAACATAATAGTATATAGCAAAACAAAACATGCAACGTAAAGATGATGAGAAATGTGAAATAGCGTATTGTGTTTTCAGTTGACTTGAGCTATATAAAGTGTAATGGATTAGAAGTTTAGCATTAGAAAGAGAGACAGATCAAGATCCGCCTTTGTCATTTATCTCATTGTACGAATCATAAAGCTATGTGAATGGAAATCGATAAAGAAAATTCGTTATCTTTTTCGCAGTTCTATTAGCCCCACTGACAGCCTCAGCGTTGGCATTATCGCTTGCGGCGAAGGATGGCACAATTACCATCACATATTTCCATGGGATTATAAGGCTGCCGAATTGGGCAACTATCGCGCAAACTTTACTACCGCTTTCATTGATTTCTTCGCCTGGATCGGCTGGGCGTATGATTTGAAGAGTGTAGAACACAGTATGATAAAGAAACGCGCGGCCCGAACAGGTGACGGCTCAATATATGCGCAAACGGATGATCGTGATGAGCATCATCATTCGCATGAAGGAGCTATATGGGGATGGGGCGATGCCGATATGGCATTCGAAGATATGCAGAAGGTCAAGATTATTAATAAAGGTGATTGAGATCCCAAATTTCAATTCCCTAAAATCTCTATATGTGGTATTACACTTGGTCGGAATTACGCAGAACGTGGACATTTATAGTTTACGATAGTATTGTAATGAATTTGATGATCCATACCTGAAGGTTTAATATATTGTTATACATCATTAGGTATCATAATCTCGACTTTTTGTAGGTGATAGTACTTACCAATATCAATATCGATTGATGCATCAACAATAATAGTACGATAATGGTTATTAAATTACAATTGTTTTTTTTTCTTTTAACTGTTTAACAGTCTTGTGCATGCAATTGATGGAAACGACGCGTCTAGGACGCGTGATTATGACGTTTTTTTATTTAGCTTTTGAATAGAGATATTTCTTAAAGTTAATATTTATGATAACCATTTCAATTTGTAATTTTAATATCTAGATGTTCATCTTATTAGATATTTAATCTTTTGCAATTATCATTATTTTTCACAAATTTTAAAATACTTATACAAATTTCATAAAATTACGTTAAAATTAACATAAAAAGAAAATGTCACCACTTCATATATAAATTATTGATAAGGAATATATTATATTCGTTGGGGGTGCATGCTCTACGTTACAAAGCCCTGTTGTGCATTGTCGGATAAGGATATAATCATCCAAAGAACAGCGATCAATCATTTAATGGCGTCAATTAATATTTATTGTATAATATTATTCATACATTATTATATCGTTCCTCTCTTCAATCGGTCATTGAAGTATCGCGAGTTCAATCGCCTTGCAACGAAGAGATGGAAAATCTTAAGGCGCGACAGCGATTTCTCGGATCGATTAGATTCCATTAGAATCCGATTAGAAGCGTTTTGAATAAAAAATCTGATTGCAAAAGGCGCGTGCTCTCATTCAAAATAAATTTATTAGAAAAAAAGGCTTCGTTAGGAAATAAAAGGAGATCTCGTGAATATGAGATAATCAAGCGATGATCTGAATTAAAATGCTAGCGTGCTGTACAATCAATTATGTACCTACGAATCAAATTCATTCGTGGCCTTCTGAATGACTGTTTATGTATTTAGACTTTATATCAAAACGCGTTTATATCAAAACTGTTTCGATATCTCGAAGTCAATTCCATAATAATTGTGACACGATATAGAGCACGAATCATTATCGATTTCTAACGCTGTTATAATAATCAAATTAAAATAAATAAATTTTTTAGACACCATCACTATTAGCCGAAAATTAATATTTGTCACACTTCATAGAAAGCAAAAATTATTAAGACGTTAGAAGATCCGTATATGAAAAAAGCGATTTAGTTTTAATGTTTATTGATCATAAACAAAACTATAGTTCATATATGTACAAGTAAATAGTATATTTTTCGATTTATCTCGATAGAACAACGATCAAGATTCTCCGTGGCATTATGTCGCTTTCACTATCGAGTATCACGCCAGTCGCATTTCTTTAATTATTGCTACTACGTGATGACACTAAATCAAGACTAATTTATTATGAGAATAAAAAATATAAGTATAAATCTTTTATAACTTAAAAAACATATTTTAAATACGAGATATCTGAAATCATCTTACAAATGATAAATTTACTAAAAAAAAACAATGACATTAAGGCTAAATTAGATTAAAAATCAAATAAAATAATAATGAATTATAAGCAAGAGGATGTTTATAAAATTTATATGATTGTAATAAGCAATGAAATATTATTTTATTATTTATTATAATTATTATCATTATAAAATTTT